TAAAAGAAATTTTAAAAAATCTAGAATTAATGCAAGGGAGCAAATATGTAACATAAATGTGTGTGATGTCAGGTTTCCCAAAAAGGTATGAGAGCTCTGTAGAGCAAGAACTGGTTGGCCATTAAAAAGACTGTGTGATCACCTAACTTCTTCATTTTAAAGGGTTTTAGAAGTTTATGATTCATGCCAACAATGCCTGGCTGTTAGGAATCAAAGTCAGAAGGGAATAGAAAGGACATCATCAGGAGATCAAAAGTATATTGTAACCCAAGATATTGTGACATTTAGGAACCCTGAGCCAAATGAGAATTGTTTTGTGTGTCAACTTTTTTGACTTGCATTGCACATTCTAGCATCTGATGTGTTAGAAGGCTCAAGTATTGTCTTGTAAACTGGAATCATTGCACATTCTAGCATCTGATGTGTTAGAAGGCTCAAGTATTGGCCTGTAAACTGGAATGTTTCTGTAATATTTATTTCAATGCATGACGGGCACCATGTTTACTTCTCTGAAGACTGGTTGAACTTTGTGTACTTAAAAAATATACATACACGTCTATCATTCCTGAATGTTATATGGGTCATTTAGAATGTTAAAATATTGGCCGGGTGTGGTGGCTCATGCTTGTAATCCCAGCACTTTGGTAGGCTGAGGTAGGCAGATCACAGGGTCAAGAGTTCAAGACCAGCCTGACTAATATGGTGAAACTCCATCTCTACCAAAAATACCATCAAAAAAAAAAAAAAAAAAAAAAGCCGGGCATGGTGGCACGTGCCTGTAGTCCCAGCTACTCAGAAGGCTGAGGCAGGAGAATCTCTTGAACCCACAAGGCAGAGATTGCAGTGAGCTGAGATCACGCCATTGCACTCCAGCCTGGCTGACAGAGCAAGACTCCATCTAAAAAAAAAAAAAAAAAAAAGTGAAAATATTACTGTGTAAAGTCTTCACATTTGAGACATAATTGTATGATTGTTCTAATTCTGTTAATATTAGCCATTGGCAGGGGATTGATATCCAAATGTAGATTTCAGGTTCAAGACAATTCAGTGAACACATTGAAATTTATTTTTCAGGCCGGGCGCGGTGGCTCAAGCCTGTAATCCCAGCACTTTGGGAGGCCGAGGCGGGTGAATCACGAGGTCGAGAGATCAAGACCATCCTGGTCAACATGGTGAAACCCCGTCTCTACTAAAAATACAAAAAATTAGCTGGGCATGGTGGCGTGTGCCTGTAATCCCAGCTACTCAGGAGGCTGAGGCAGGAGAATTGCCTGAACCCAGGAGGCGGAGGTTGCGGTGAGCCGAGATCGCGCCATTGCACTCCAGCCTGGGTAACAAGAGCGAAACTCTGTCTCAAAAAAAAAAAAAAAAAAAAAAAAAAGAAATTTATTTTTCAAAGGAGTTGAATGGAGTGGTTAGATTTTTTTTTTTTTTTTTTGTAATGCCTTTTCAAACTTTTCAACTTCTCCTGGGGTTTCTCACCAAAAAGTTATTTCTTGTACTTCCAAAAGCTGTTTTAAGCAAATAAACATGATACAAAAGGCTGTGAGTATTTAATCTATCTTTTTCAAACAGCCAGTATTTTAAAAGGCCTTAATAATAATCACATGGCTGTTAGTAAAATCATTTGTATGCCGAAGGATATCAAGTCAGGATGTCATTCCTTGGAAGAGCCATTTTACTCGGAATATATTGTTCCAAAGGAAATGGACAGAGTCCTGTTGCAGAAATAGTGTTCCACCTGGTACTAGCATTTTAAAACAGTCCTATTCTAATCCATAACACATTTCTAGTTTTCCCTGAAGCTTTGGGCTGCCTTGTGCATGAATAATTTTTGGAGAAACACCCACGCCCGTTAGCCCATTGTTCATAACTATTGGAAGAAGATTAACTAGAGCCTGAAAATTGTATATCTGCGTATGCCTCTGAATCTGTCACAGGGAACCAAAGGAGATAAGTGGCTTTTACTTTGGATGAAGAGGTAAAATTCCCCGGTAGAAATTCTAAAGATGATTCACAAGTTTCAAAATGTTTAATGCTTTCCTACAATGGAAACATGTCTCTCTGTCTAGGGGGATGGAAATTTGTATCTCTTTCTCCAGCTCAATCTTTGTCTAAAAGCATTTCATAGATATTTTGAGAAAGTGCCACATAGAGGAAAGGAGAAAATGAAATTAGCATTTTAACATCTTACAGGGGGAAAAATACACGAAAAGTTCGGTTGTGATCTCTTTTTTGCCCAATGCACGTTCGAAATAGATACTGTTATTGTTCCTTAGAACTACATATGTGCATGTTTTAAAGGCTTTAATATATTTCCTTATTGTTATTATTTTTGCATTCATCTACATCTTACTATCCTTGTTGCAGAGAAGAGAGGATGTGAAAAATGACATTTGGGCTTTTTTTTTTTTTTTTTTTTTTTTTTTTAAAAACAAAAGCATTTAACAAGCTTAAAAAATGAAACTCGATGAAAAAGAAAAGAAGGTTTGAACACAGTCAAATAACCTGAGAAGTGACAGATGGAAAAGCAACAGAATGCAAGCACCTTGTAAGGCCTGTAATCTTTGGATTTACTGTGAAAAGTTTCAGAACATCATAGACTCTTAACTGCCACATTGTCCAGAGACCCTGGAAAATAACAGTGAAATTCATATGTATACACATGTATATGAATACACACACACATGCATGCAGACTGTCTTCGCACACCCCTCCTCAACACTCAACCAGAGTTACATAAATGCTTCTCAGATATGTAATTGCATTTGTTTGTTTCTGCATTTCAGCTAGGTTCAGCGGTTTGCACCTGTGACATTAATTATGCAAGATTCAGACAACCAAGCAGGCGCATTTTGGGGGTGAGTTTTAAGAAATCTGTGACCTGAAAGAAATTCTGTGGGGACTGTCCGGGCTATCCCATTTATTCCATGATTATATTCTGTTTTTAGGTCTTGACCTATTTTTAAGCCATTTCCTCTCTGTATGCTTTTAAGAAAAAAAAGTCCTTATTCTGAAATACTAATATTTTGATTCTACATGAACTCTGCCCCTTGAATGTGTTGCTGTCAGCTCTCTTTAGGAGCTGTTGCAAAACATCAGGAAGGCCAGGCTGTTGTGTGAAGTGTTTACTGTTGTATCCCACGGTGCCTAGGAGAGTGTCACATATAATACGTGCCTAATAATATTTGTTAAACGAATTTGCTTAATAAATAGAATTTCCTGTGGTGCCCTGTGTCACCCGTGCTTTGCAACATGCTGTATATCTGGAGGATTTGCTCAACTACAAAATAAGGCCAAATATATAACATTCAAATATTGACATAGGAATTTTTAAATGGACATTTCAATTTGCTGCTGGTTGGTGGTCAGCTGGAAGGAGGGATGGGGAAGGAAAGGCAACCTCTCGCTCTAGCTAGTACCAAGACGTGGTGGCAGAATGGAGATACTTGAGGGTAATCTGCGTCACATTTGCCATGTCATCTTCCTTTTCAGTTCTAAAGTTCTCACTTATCAGAACTGTGTTTTATTCAGGGAAAGGAGAGCAGTGGTATGAAGGTAGATAAAGACATCCTTCTGAGTTCATGTTATTTAGTTTTTATCCTCCAGAAAGAAGTTTCTAGAAGCCTCAGAGGGCTGGCCGAACGAAGACAGACCTGGCCTCTAGGCATGTGCTGAGAGCCGAGTGTATGTCCCAGTGCCAGCCCAGATCTTGTTCTATAAGGTGAATGTTAGCAGCCTTCCCTCAGTAGTGACATACGTGGTTGCCAGGCGGCAATTCATGAGCCTTACCAAATTTATCAATATTTTCCTCTCTCACCTCCCACCCCACCCCACCGTAGAAATTGCGCTAACAAACTATATCGATTATATGTTGAAGCAGATGGTTTATTTTTTTCATTCTCAGAAGGGAAACAATTTCCATGGAGTTGGGAATTGTATTGATCCCGCCACCCCCTGTTGGAGCAAGGGCTCAAGAATCCACTTTGGATGGTTGCGGTGGAATCTGAATTATGTAACTTAGGCCTAATAACCCTGGACTGGAGCAGGCAGTTTTAAACAGCTTCAAGAACCCCAATGCTAATGCACTGATTTTCCTTTAATAGAATTTCCTTGCTGAAGGACAGTGCTCAGTAGAGTCCAGTCCACCCTTCAATCTTAACCCATCCGAAGACTGTTCCTTTCCAGTCGAGCTCCATTCATTTCTGGTTGAATAGGTTAAGCAAAGACAGACCTCGCTGTTCTCAATTCACTTTATGATCCTCCCATCATAAAAAATAATATCAGCACCTTGCTTTTCATGTCAGAACTACATTTGAGCCGCTATTCCCTATGCCCATGAGTAAATCCCATAAAAGCCGCCCCGTTGTACTGTTGCTATTTTTCCTTGTGGGTGATTGATTGATGGATGAGTGCTGACACTTCAATGAAGCTATTTCGACTGCCATCTCAATCCGATGATGTGAGGGGTATATTTTCTGTCCATGCCTCATTACTTCAGAATGACATTCCTGGAACTTCATTTACTTTTTCCCTCCTTCCCCGAAGCGCCATATTTTTTCCCATCTAGGTTATGCATGCCATAAAAAAAGCAATTTGCTATTATATGTGGCATAAGGGCAACACTTTCCCTAGGAGGTAAATAAGAAGTTTTTTTTTTTTTTTTTTTTTTTTTTTTTTTTAATCCCAATGTTGAATTTAGGGATCATGTCAAAATTTCCAAAACAATTTCAACAGGCAGCCTCCTTGAGAAATTGTGAGGAAGAGGTATTTGGCTTCATTTTGTCAGTGCTGAGTTTTTTAAAAAATAACCTCGGTAATTAAAGCAACAAGAGAAAATATTCTTTTGTTTCAGAATCATCTGGTTCCTAGTGTTGTGCCTAGAATAGTATAAATATTTCACCATAGCTGAGTAGCACTTTACCACATAATCCAGACTTACTTGTCCTGTGAGAACAAGGAAATTCATTGTTTAAATGCAATGATGGATTTATCTATTATAGGTTGCTTTCAATTGTATAGAAAATGTTCAACTAGAGTAAACAGATCCATCCTTGCGTCTCCAAACTGTGCACCAGGTATGCAAGACTTTCAGTATTAAAACATGCTCTTAGCTTTTCCAAGTTGACTTAGGACCTGATTTTAATCTGTGTAATACAGTATTCCCGTTAATAATAACGTATAATTAAGACATCCGTTAAAAATCCATAATGTTAATTTAATGGACAAAATCTAATACAGTTCTATTGGAATTTTTACGTTAAATTAACTTTAACGGGCTTTTAATGGATGTCTTAATTAGATCTCATTATTAACGGGAATAGTCCACAAATTAAAATTGGGCCCTCAAAGTTTTAATGAAAAAAGTTGAGGGAACACATTTAAAACGGACACCCTATTTCATGCTTTCTGTTGCTTCTAAAGCTAAGTGGCGTTTTAGAGCCCGCAAATAAAGAGTCCTCAGAAAGGGATTCCCAGAAAAGGCTGTGCGGACCTTTCCACCCTGCAATGATGTCATGTCGCGTTCTCTCAGATTCTGCACTTCACCAATTCTCCCAATTTGCAGTTCTCATATGACAGTGGTGCGTGCTTGAAACTTTTTTTTTTTTTTTTTAACCAATCAAGATGATGATGATCAAGGTGCTCACCACTGCATGGGAACAGTCTTTGGCAGCAACATGGTTAAGCTTAACTATTTGAACAAGTTTCACAGAAGATGAACATTGTTCAGGGGTTTTCTTGGCTCAAACTCTGGTTTAACTTAATCATTCTTCTACTTTGTAGTGATTAATGGTCCCCTAGTGCAGGGGCAGGACTGGGCAATCCAGGTGCAAGTGTAATTGTTACACTGAACAGAAACATTTCCTTTAGACAAACGTTCCCAGAGGGGTTATAAATAGGAAATGGACATTACCATGAAAAGTAAGCCTCCAAGTGTCTACCTCGAGTGCAGCCCACGTGGACATTAAACTATGAAGACTTATACTCCCCCCCGCACCCACTCTCCTGTTACAAACTGACAAAATAAGTACATCAGTGTTCTCAGTCATGACTTTTCTTCGGTGGCACTTTGTTTTCTTGTGACAGTGAAAAGGGTACTGCAGAGACGAGACAGACCCATTGCAGTTTATCAATGAAAATCTAATATCGCCCATAAGCAGAGAAGTGGAAATCAATACTTCATTACCAAATTGTTAGTGAGGATGAAGAGAAATGGCTGGGGTGATTTTTTTTTTTTTTTTTTTTTTTTGGGCAGTCTTCTCGGAGCCAGGGTGTCAGGAGGAGTTCAATGAGTTCAATGTCAGAAGCAGAATGGTGCAACGAAGAAGGATTCAGTGTGAGGGGATCCAGGCTGGAAAGTGGAAACTAAGGCATTCGTCCTGTAACGGGAATCAGAACAACAGAAAAAGATACATTATTTTCTGAGGTGTAGCCCAGGTGATTCTTCCCTGGAGTAATCCCCTTGCCCATCTCCACTACTTTATTGTTGGAATGTTCTGAATAGAGTCATAGTTATATAACCAGACCGTGGAACATGAAAAGGAGGAGTCAACTTCAAGAAAAAACTATTTAAATACCGTATGTTCTCACTGGTAAGTGGGAGCTAAACACTGAGCACACATGGACATAAACATGGGAACAACTGGGGCCGGGGAGGGAGGAAGGACGGAATGAGTTGAAAACTACCTATCAGGTACTGTGGTCAGTGCCTGGGTGATGAGATCTATACCCCAAAGCTCAGCATCCTGCAAAATTCCCATGCAGCAACCAGCACATATACCCCCTGTATCTAAAATGAAAGTTGCAATATTTCTTGTTCTTTTTTTTTTTGAGACAGGGTCTCGTTCTGTCACTGCACTCGTGCAGTGGCATGATTGTGGCTCACTGCAGCCTCGACCTCCCAGGCTTAAGTGATCCTCCTGTCTCAGCCTCCTGAGTATCTGGAACCACAGGCACACACCACTATGCCTGATTAGGTTTAGTTTTTATTTTGTAGAGCCTGTGTTGCCCAGGCTGGTCCCAGACTCCTGGGCTCAAGCAGTCTTCCCACCCAGCCTCTCAAAGTGCTGAGATTATAGGTGTGAGCCCCTTAGACTGGCCAAAAAGTTGCAACTTTAAATTTAAAAAAATTTAAAAAATATAATGTGCGGAAGGAATATTTGTATACCCATGTTCATAGCAACGGTATTCCTAATAGCCAAAGCTCAGAAGCAACACAGAGGAATGGATAAGCAAATGTGATACGTATATGCAATGGAATATATTACTCGGCCCTAAAAAGGGAAGAAATTCTGATACATTCTACAACATGGATGAACCCTGAGAACATTATGCTAAGTGGAAATAAGCCAGTCACAAAAAGAAAAATGCTATATGGTTATACCTCTATAAGGTATCTAGAGGTAGACAAACTCAGAAACAGAAAGAGGAATGGTGGTTGCCAGGGGCTGGGGATGAGATAGATGGAAAAAGAAATAAGAATTCTTGTTCAATCAGTACAGAGTTTCAGTTTCATCTTTTGTGAGACGAAAAATCTGTGGATGAATATTGTTATGTTTGCACAACAATCTGAATGTACTTAAAGCCACTCAACTGTGCACTTAATAGTTAAGATGATAAATTTTATGATTTGTGTATTTTACTGTAATTAGAAATAAAAATACATAATGTATGATTTTTTTCTCTATAAAGCTTTTTGAAAAAACAAACCCATTAACCTATGGTCATACCAGACAGAGAAAGCTCTCATTCACATTCTGTTGTATTTCATTCTAGTCTTTTCTTTTCCCATGCTTTTTTTTTTTTTTTTTTTTTTTGGAATTGGAGCCTCACTCTGTTACCCAAGCTGGAGTGCAGTGGCACAATCTTGGCTCACTACAACCTCTGCCTCTTGGGTTCAAGTAATTCTCCTGCTTCAGCCTCCAGAGTAGCTGGGATTACAGGCATGCATTACCATGACCAGCTAATTTTTGTATTTTTAGTAAAGATGGGGTTTCACCGTGTTGGCCAGGCTAGTCTTGAACTCCTAACCTCAAGTGATCCGCTAGCCACTGTTTCTGGCCTTTCCATGCATTTCATTAGGTTTACGCAGTTGTATATGCTGACTATATGATGTACTTGTCTGGACATATTTTTTCACTGGAAAGCATCAGTATAAACAGCCATAGAAGTTCTATTACATACGTTATAATAGTCTATGATACCATGATAATGTAATATTGAACATGTCATGTTTGTAATTTTTATTCAATAATACATAACACTTGATGAACATCTTTGTGTTTCAAGATTTTCTGTATGCTGGAATATTTTCCTAGGCTTGAATTCTTAAGCATGAAATTCCTGTCAAAAGACAGGAACTTTTTTGTGGTAGGGAAGTGCTACTTAGTAACAGGGTGATTTTTCTTTCCGGGAACTTTGCTCTGGATGACTGTGTGGAAAGCATGCAATTTCCTTTAGCCCAATCTGAGTGGAGTTTCTTATTTATATCTTGTTATTTACTGGTAATGTTCATTTTAGTGAGAAAAATACATTGAACCTAAGTATAATTCGTCTTTTTAGAAAAGGAAAGCTTCCATATTTTTAGTAGAAGGATAAAGGCAAATTGAAAATCAGATGACATTTGATATGTGTAGAGAAATTATGCACAAGATAATCATAACAGACATTTAAAACTATTCCTTGGTAAGGAATAGTATGACTGCAGTACTAGCAACCAGTTATTCTGTATCTGCCAAATTCCAGTCACTTTATACACATTACTGTTAACTCTTGAAATAATCTCATTTTTAAAATGAGTGATAAAGGCCGGGCATGGTGGTGCACATCTGTAATCCCAGCACCTTGGGAGGCAGAGGCGGGTGGATCACAGAAGGCCATGAGGTCAAGACCAGCCTGGTAAACATGGCGAAACCCTGTCTCTACTAAAAATACAAAGATTAGCCAAGCATGGTGGTGCACATCTGTAATTCCACATACTTGGGAGGCACGAGAATTGCTTGAACCTGGGAGGTGGAGGTTGTGAGCCGAGATCGCACCACTGCACTCCAGCCAGAGCAACAGAGTGAGACTCTGTCTCAAAAAAAAAAAAAAAAAAAAAAAAAAAAAGGAGAGAGAGAGAGAGAGAGAGAGAGAGAGAGAGAGACAGAGATAAAAAGTAAGTCACTTGTTCTAGAGTTCACAGCCTATAAAAAGCAGAGGATGGCTTTGAATTTAGCCCTTCCCACTCTGAAGCTTCCAAACTCATGACGTGCACTGCCCTACCTAGATTATAGGTGAATGCCTTGATCACCATCAGTGGAGAGAACCATTTCCCTTTGACATTAGATGTGCACTTGAGAGAAAAAGGGTCCCTGGCAGTCTTTGTTTTGAATGGGTTGGGACCCTCTGGCAGGTCTAGAAGCTTGAAGGAGGATGATCATGTGGTTGGAAGAAGAGAGATGGGTCAAAGAAAAAGTGGAGGCCAGAGATTGGTGGACTTTTGGAAATTCCAGTGGCATTACACTGTGACACAAGAGTGAAGTCCTGGCTGAAGGGTGCTGGTTCACACCAGGTCTACTGGAGGCTGACATTGTCTCCTCTTTGACCATGATATTAATGTGATACCAATTTCATGGAAATTTGTATTTTTATGATCACTTCTTTGAAGTGGCTCCAGATTAGTTCAACACCCAGACTTTTCTAGCTGGGTTTCTCTTAGGGCAAAGTTTTTTCGGGGAATGAAACCAAGGACAAAGAAAATAATAACCTTATTATAGTTCCTTTCGTGGAATTTCATAACACACATTAACATATTAAAGACTCTGAGAAGTCCTGCAATTAAAAGCAAACCAAACCATAGTGTATTTTTACTTAACCCAGTACTTGCCAGGTTGATTTGGTAACTGTTTTGTTCCCTATATAAGACTCACAAATATACCTGAGTGTTGTTTGCTGAAAAATACCTTCATGACAAATTCTTTTCGTTTTTTAATTTTTAAATTAAAAATGTGTTCTGTTTTGTATTGTTTGGCATTCGGGGAGGTGGGGGACAGGGTCTTGTTCTATCACCCAGGCTAGAGTGCAGTGGTGCAATCACAGTTGATGCAGCCTCAACCTCCTGGGCTCAATCCATCCTCCCACCTAAGCCTCCTGAAAAGCTGGGACTATAGGTGTGCAACAGCATACCTGGCTAATTCTTTTGTATTTTTTTTTTCAATAGACAGGGTTTTGATATCTTGTCCAGCCTGATCTCGAACTCCTGAACTCAAGCAATCCGCCAATCTCAACCTCCCCATGTTGGTATTTCAGGTGTGAGCCACCGTGCCTGGTCAAATCATTTCTCATATTAAAAGAAAAGTAAAAACCTTGTTTCTCTCTGTGCCTAAATAGGAGATCCGGGCAGATAATTGAAACTGAAAAGTGAAGGGAAGGGGAATAAGATAACTGTTGTTATTATTTCCCACTGTTCAGAATGAATTGCATAGATCGGATTGAGGAAAAAAAGGAAGCAGATGCTCTCAGTTGCCTCTCAAATGGTGGCTGAGGCTCGGCTTTGCTGCTGCATTTTTTTTTTTCTAGTATGTTGAGCGACTACTACAAAAATAAAACGGAAATAAATAAAAAATTTAATTACATACTTAAAAAGTTCTTGGCAACGTTCATTAAGTAGTTTGTGAGGGACAGCCAGGCGAAGAGATGTAATTATTTTTGTATTAATTACAGAGTCGCCAGCAGATGCGTAGAGTGACGTGTGCTTTAATCTGGCCACGCCAGCCTGTCTCAGCCCCTGGCTCAGCACTTTGGCTGGCTCCTGCTCTTCTTGCCGTTGCTCCATCCTCTCTCTTCACTCCGCTGTTGTTCTTGTGCGACACTCCCGTTTTTAGGGCATCGCTTGTCAACTTGCGACAGGAGGGCACGGCTGGCATTTAGTGGTGAGGGCCTGGGAACGTGAGGCACCTCGCAACGTGTGGGACAGTTTCACACAGGGTGGGATCTTCCCTCATCCTGCACCCATTTGTTATTTTTTTCATTATGACTATTATTATTATTATTATTTTTAGGAGATAGGGTCTTGATCTGTCACCCAGGCTGGAGTGCAGTGGCGCGATCACAGTTCACTGCAGCTTTGATCTCCTGGGCTCAAGTGAGCCTCCTGATTCAGCCACCTGAGTAGCTGGTACTACAGGCGCATGCCACCACACTAGGTTAATTTTTAAGCTTTTTGTAGAGATGGAGTCTTTACGAAAAGACCTAGGTTAGCCGGGCACGGTGGCTCACGCTTGTAATCCCAGCACTTTGGGAGGCTGAGGCGGACGGATCACCCGAGGTCAGGAGTTCGAGACCAGCCTGGCTAACATGGTGAAAGCTCATCTCTACTAAAAATACAAAAATTAGCCGG